TCCAGGTCTCCAACCCCAGCTCTTGGCATGGTTCCTTCACCACAACCTAATGTCCAATCTGGATGTTCTCCCACTCAGCAGTGAAGGTGCCAGCTGCACCATGCTGGTGTTTTTCCTGTGCCATCCCTATGTGTCTGCTGTTTTTCCAAACTTTTGAGGCTTGGCGAGGCTGTTTGCAGCCCCAAAAATGCAGTTCCTGCCCTTTCCATGCTATAGCTGAGCACGTGCAGCCCCTTCAGATGTGGGCAGCTAAGCAGAGCTGAGCAGGACTGCCCACACATGACCTCCTTATGCAAACTAGGTGTTAATCTTGCCAATTAACTGCAATAATTGCTTCTGAATGGGAGGAAGGAAAAGGGTGGAACATCTCCAGAGCTTTCCACTCTCACTGGAGCAGACAGCGTAGGATATGGATCTGTCTTGAGGGGGAGCTTGGGAATGGGCCTTGGTCCAGGATGGAGCAGTAGGATACGGATCTGTCTTGAGAGGGAGCTTGGGAATGGGCCTTTGTCCGGGATGGAGCAGTAGGATACGGATCTGTCTTGAGGGGGAGCTTGGGAATGGGCCTTGGTCCAGGATGGAGCAGTAGGATATGGATCTGTCTTGAGAGGGAGCTTGGGAATGGGCCTTGCTCCAGGATGGAGCAGGGAGGCTCCCGGCAGCCGGGGGCGGCGATTGCAGCATTCGGAGCCACCCAGGTGCTCAACGTGGGTCGCTGCTCTTGTCCCCTTGCCAGCGGGTTGTGGCAGGAGGTGGCATGTGCAGCTGTTATTCTGGAAGGGAGCAGCTCCCTCGAGAAATCCAGGGGCCTCAGGGCTGTTCACTGAAGGGTTTGGGCTGCTTTTTTCCTTCTCGCCGCCTCTCATCCAAGCTGTCCCCATCTGGCCACGTCCCAACATCCCTTGTCCGTCCAAGGGAAGCCACAGGACACGTCTCCAAGGTCCCTTTTGTGGTGTCCACGTGCAGTCTCGTGTGGTCACCGCTGCTTTTCCTGCAGGTGCCGTGGCCAGCACGGTGGTGAAGCAGAAACTGGCCGAGGTCATCCTGAAGAAGCAGCAGGCAGCTCTGGAGAGGACCAGCAACCCCAACCCTTCGGCCCTGCCTTACAGGTGAAACAAGGGGACCCTCTTGGGGTTGTTGTCCACCCAGTCTTATGCTCAGGACCCTGGGAAGACATTTCTTGATGACAGTTTATCTCTGTTGGAGGCTGGATTCAGTGTTAAGTGGTGGATGTGTCTCCTGTGTTTTCTTCCCTGGCCTCGTTGGAGTTGCTGGGTTCGTTGAGGACAAGCAAGGGCTCCGCATTCACTGGGGATGCAAAGGGGGAAACCGTATTCCCAGCCCTTGGCAGCCCAATCCCTTGTGTAGGAGCTTGCAGGAGTGCATGGAGCAAGGCTCTGAATGCTGGCAGACACCCAGGAGAGGCAATGCCCCACGTGCCACCCATGCAAGGGCAGAGCGCCGTTGGGATCGGGGTGTCTGGAGGCAGCATCCCGGGAGCTCAGGCCCATGCAAATCCCCGGGAGAAACATCCAGGAGGCAGATCCTGGAGCTTCGGCGTTCCAAAGACTCGTGGAGATGGCCGCGTTGGCCAAGTCTAGAGGGTTGGCTAAGTCCAGGCAGTGCCAGCTCTTGGTCCCAGCAGTGAAAGGTCTCTAACCAGGTGTCTTCTCCTCCACAGGCCTCTGGAGCCTCTGGATGCTGAGGGCCCTTCCCCTCCTGTGCTCAGCACCTTCCTTCCCCCGGTCCCCAGCACTTCTCTTGACCCCCCGGAGCATTTTCCACTGCGGAAAACGGGTAAGGCCAAGGGCTGACACCATCTCCCTCCCCTTCTGGTGCCATCTGAGCCTGCACACGGGGACCGCAGGGGACAGATGGAGCAGGAGACGGGAGCGGGCCAATCCAGCTGCGGGCAAGGACTAACTTCCCTGTGTGTTTGCAGCATCCGAGCCCAACCTGAAGGTGCGTTGCAAGCCCAGGAAGTGCCTCGACCGGCGCAAGAACCCCCTGACCCGCAAGGAGAGCGCTCCTCCTTCGCTGAAGAGACGGCCACCGGAGGCCATCGGTGAGGCTTGGCCCGGGCTGCTCTAACTTGGCACTTGGCAGAGTCCGAGGCCAAGTTGGGGCAGCCGTGGTCCATCCAGGATCATAGAATCGTAGAATGCTCAAGGTTGGAAGGGACCTCTCGGGGTCACCTAGTCCAACCCCCTGCACACGCAGGGTCACCTAGAGCACGTGGCACAGGGCTGTGTCCAAGCGGGTTTGAAGATCTCCAGGATCTTGCAATCTGGGGGATTGGAGAGGGCAAGTTGTGTCTTGGAGGCTCCGTGCGGTATCGGCGCCCTCCTTGGGGCGCTGCCCGTGGAGCAGCTTCGTGCCCTGGTGATGCAGGGGCCACTGAACGAGGAGAGGATGCTCCTGCAGGCACACCAAGCTGCTCTGGGGGCCCGTGGTGGGCATAGAAGGCAGGATGGGTCCCTGTGCAAACACAACTGTCCGAGTTTTCTCACTGTGGTGCCATCCAAGTTGGCAAAGACAACCAGCCAAGCCTGGGCTGAAGTTTCGCCCTAGAAAGGCAGTGTCAAAACTCTTGGAGGCAGGGCCGGATTTCAGGCCCTGAGGTGCTGCCCTTCTGCGGGTGCCGATGTCCGTGTCCCTCGCGTGTCTCCCGCGCAGACTCGTCCCCGAGCAGCAGCAGCACCCCCGTCTCCGGCTGCAGCTCTCCCAACGACAGCCTCCCCGCGGAGCACGGAGCCCTCCCGGCCGCGCCGGGCATCGCCCACGAGGTGAGCGCCCTCGGGACCGGCTTGGAGTCCTCATGTCCTGCCCGACCCGCATCCTAGGCTCAGGATAAGCTAGCGTCCCCTTGGGAACCCCTATGAACCCTGCTGCCTGGGATGGCCTCCATCCCAAATCCCGCTCTCCCTGGATGGGGGAATCCCTTGCCAAGCTCCCCTATGCGCTGCCCTGCTTAGCAGCGGAGCATGTGCTATCCCCAAAGCCCCAGCTGTTCCCCCAGGTGTTTCCACAGACTAATGGAATGTGTTTGGTGCAGACGCCCCTGGCCCAGCGCCTGATGCTGCAGGAGAGCTCCCTGGCCCAGTTTGCGCTGCAGAGCGCAGCCTCCCTTCCCGCCATCACGCTGGGATTGCCGGCTACCACTAGCGCCAGGGTAGGTAGCCAGGTTGTAGGTACCCCTAGAACTGCACAGGGGGTTCCCAGCCTCTCTCTTGAGGGTTCCTGGGCTAGTGCCAGTTGTTTGTTGACTCCCAGTATTCCAAGATCCTGCCCGCGGGCATGGCGTGCGCCGTCCCCTCTCCGTCCTTGTCCCAGGCTCTGCTGTCCTGGCACGTTGCTAATGCAGTTCTCCTTTGCAGGGAGAGGCAGATCGCCGGCCCCTCTCCGGCCTGGCACACCGGGTCCCTGTGCTCAACGGGCCCGTCCTCGCAGGGACGCATTCGCCCATGTTCTTACCCGCTGGCCTGGAGCAGCACGAGGCCGGGAGCCCTTTATCCCCTCGGCTGCAGCCTGTCATCATCCTTGAGCCCTCTGTCACCCACGCTCCTCTCGTGGCGGGTAAGTGCCAAGCTTTCTAACAGCCCAACACTGCTGTTCTGCAGGAGATGTGCCCAGGAGCAGCGCTTGGTGTAGCCCGCAGCATAAACCCTTGCAGCCTGCAAACCAGCATGGTGGTTTCAGCCTGGGAATCAGCCTTTGGTCTGTTGTGCATCCGAAATCACACCTGGGAATTGTTCTGGGCTCCTTCCCAATCTCTACAGGCTAGGAAAGCTTTGCCCCTGCCCAAAGAAACCAGTATGGCTTCTTGCACATCCTTCTCCCAAAGTCTTGCAGGGCAGTGAGTTAAGGCAGACCCGGGTGCTGGATTGGGATGCCCAGAGCTGCTGCTTGCCTGGGCAAGTGTGGGATGCCCTGTCCCCCCGGCACACAAAGCCCTCACCTCTGCTTTCTCTTCCCTGCAGTGCCAGGTCTGGGGACGGTCCCCTTGTCCTTTGCCCCCTCGCTCATCTCCGCAGAGCGCCTGTCACTCCCAGGCCACCACAAGCCTCTGGGGAGGACCCGCTCGGAGCCCCTGCCGCAGAACCCCAAGGCCATCCAGCAGCAGCTGGTCTACCAGCAGCAGCACAGCCAGTTCCTGGAGAGAATCAAGCAACAGACACAGCTGGGCAAGGTGAGTCCTGGGGCTTCAGGACAGGGGTGCTGGAGAAGGACACCACAAGGTTGCGACGTGTCCATCCTTGCTGATGGACCACGAGTAGCAGATGTCCAGGGCTGTCCAGCTTCACTGGCTCCTGCATTCGGAGTGCTCTGAGCCCTGAGAGGCCCTGCTGTCTTGCAGCACCTCCGCAGCGTGGCTGGGCATCCCTCCTGGCCCCGTGTCACCTCTCTGTACTCCTTTGTGTCCCCTCTATCTGCAGCGCATGGCCAAGTCCAGCGAGAAGCCCCGTCTGCGGCAGATTCCCTCCTCGGAGGACATGGAGGCCGAGGGGACCCTCCTGGAGGCCGGGGGTGAGAGCGGTGACCAGGCCAGGACACGCACAGAGCCCCCACGGTCAGGGGGCAGCGCGAAGGAGCCCGAGAGGACGCAGAAGATGCTGCAGTCGCCGGAGGAGCTGGTTCTCCAGCAGGTATCCCAGGGTTGGCAGGGTTTGGAGAGCCTGGGCCATGCAGGCTGCCCATTCCAAGCAGTCTGGGCACGAGGAACCCGGGAGGAAAGGAGATGATGCCTTTTCTTGGGTGGCACAGAGCTGTGTGGAGTCCTCCTGAGTAGTTTGAAGCCTGTGGGAGCTGTCGAGGGATCAGCTGGGGGTTCCCAGCTTGGTTCTCAGCTTCAGTCCTGGCTTAGCTGCTTTTAACAGTAGCCTCAGGTGGCATCCCCAGGCAGTGGGACCTCTGCCCATGCTGTCATGCAGAACCTCCACCCTGGTCCTCTGCCTCTTTCCAGAGCAGGTCTGCAGTTTGTCACGAGGTTGGCGTTGATGTTGCAGCATGGGCAGAGCAGGGGCACGTGGGCAGCGTGCCAGAGAGGTTTTGGAGAGACCTCTTTCTCCATCCCTCGGTGTTTCCCTTTGCACAAACCCAGCAAAGTCAGCAGCATCCTGACTCTGGGGAGGTTCAGGTCAGACCTTGTCCAAGGAGAAGACCCCTCCACACTCCAAAGGACATTTTTGTCCTGAGACCAATGTGGCCAGTGTCTACCCAGGCGACTGCCTGATGCAGTTTGTTAGACCTACCTTGCCTGGCACCCTCTAGATAAACCGGGCAGTGTTTCAAAGTGCAGGTGAGCATCTAAGGACAAAAAGGCTCCTCAGTAACGCGTGGGCTCTGAATGCTGCATGTGACTGCATTCCCAGTGAACCCTTGAAGCTGCTCCACTTCTGATGTGTGCAGTTTGTGTGGTTTTGTGCCTCTCTTATCCGTGGAGGAGGCTGTATCCTCAGGGATATTTTTCTGTGCTGGCACAGTGGTGTCTCTGCCCATAGAAAACACCCCTCTAGGGTATCAGCGTGTGTTCAGTTAAGCTGTTCTGGATGTTGGTGAATTGGCACCCTCCGTGGGTGCCAGCAAGGCTGGGTGTCACCTGCAGTCACCGCGTGCCAGCAGTGCGGGACTGAGCCAGCAGAGAGCAGCAGACACTGTGTGACATGTCCCAGCTCCGGCACAAAGCCACGGAGGGGACTAGTTGCATCCAAACCTCTCTGGGATCCGGGCTCCTCCCTGGGATCCGGGCTCCTCCCTGGGGGCTCCTCTCTGGGATCCGGGCTCCTCTCTGGGATCCGGGCTCCTCGCTGGGATCCGGGCTCCTCCCTGGGGGCTCCTTCCTGGGATCCAGGGTCCTTCCTGGGATTCGGGCTCCTTCCTGGGATCCAGGCTCCTCCCTGGGGGCTCCTCGCTGGGATCCGGGCTCCTCCCTGGGGTCTCCTCGCTGGGATCCGGGCTCCTCCCTGGGGGCTCCTTGCTGGGATCCGGGCTCCTTGCTGGGATCCGGGCTCCT